AGAAACGGAAGGGGTAATTAAAATTAAAACAAAATAGACTACTCAAAGAAAAAGTACTGTGTAAATCAGATTAATGACGTCAGTTACCTCGTGCTATTGCACCCTCTCAATTAATGAAAAGCAAAATTGTGTTCCCTTGGCGCACACAAAATAGAAACGAGAAAATAGTAAAATAGCAGCAAAAATATTTTAGAGTTGCATTGATGCAGTGATATTTCATCAGAGTAAGACTCTTGATATTCAATTGGAAGAAGATAGTATAAGTAAGATTTTGAGTCTAATTTCTGTGTATGGAAAAAAATTTTAGTAGTAAAAATTCATAACATCTAAATACACAATTCGAATTAAATTTAAATTAAATCGGATAAAAAATAAAAAAAATTAAAACCTTAAAAAAATGAATAATGTAAAAACATTTAAAAATAATAATAATAAATAATTGATAACAAATAGTAGAGAAAGACATTTTTAACGGAAATGATTTATTTAAATTAAAATAATTTATTATCAATTTATTCACATAATTAGTTATATATTTTAAAATTAATTTTACTTAATCTTAAATTAAATAATCACTTAATCATATCAACTTACACTTTCAAACAATACAATATAAAAAATATATTATTTTGATTAAAAGAAATCGTTAGTTGATGTGTGACCGAGTTGCTTGAGATGAGCTCACGTGGTCAGCACGTGATTTGAAAATAGCCCCTCAAAAACGCGTTTAATTAAGGCCGAGAGACACATGCAGGCATCATTGTGATTCAACGCTTGGCACGTGCTTTGTTCCCAATATTATCACTAAACCTCTCTCCGAGACTAAAGTGTGAAAGTGACACAGCAAATTATTTTAAAATTCATTGGATTTAATTTTAAAATTTATTTTCATGATCTAACATCCGTGGCTTACGCTTATCCCATGTCTGAAACATATAAAAAACGAAATTAATTTTATATTAACAATTAATGATTCTAAATTTTTATTTTTTATATACTTGTAAATTCTCCTAGTTATTAAATGTGTTTATTTTTTTAAAATAATAGTGGATTTTTTAATACTTTTTTTATAAAAATAAAAATAAAAATACTAAAAGAATATGTAAAAAAAGACCGCAAAGCTTATTATTAGTCAGCTAAACAACCAATAAAATGTGCAATTCAAAAGCTAAAATAAATCATCCACCACTGTAACACTTTACTCAACCAAGAGAATGTTCGGTGGTTACAGGCAATTTTGAAATATGATACTAATTGTTGGTCAACATAAGTTTAATAAACTTTTAGATAAGTATTTATAATAAAACAAAATTAATACTAAAAACCTTTTTTTCGTAAATTAAAGAATAATTTTAAATAAATAAAATAATGAAAAACTACTTTTAACTTATAAAATTTTATTTTATTTTATTAGTTAATTTTTAACTTATAAATATTTATTAATTAACTTGTCTAAATCTAAATATCATTTCTCATAATTACTTTTACACATATCTTATGCCCAATCAAAGAAATGCTTGACCTAATTCATTTTGAGTTTTTTTTTAAACATTGATTAAAGAGTTAACAATAAATTTTTATCAAAATTATATTAAAATTTAAAAAAAAACACAAAAGAAGTATATTTATCATATTTTTAGATAAATTTTTATTTTAAATTTCTTAAATAATTATTTGATATCACTGATTAACATTTTCTAATTTCTTTATTTTTAAAAGTAAAATGTGGGTCAAGCATATTCTTTTAAATGCTTAAAAAAAAACCTTTTCAATTAAAAAAATTAAACTAAGAAATTTTAAAAGAAATACTTCTACTTTCCTTTTTTTATTTTAAAATTTAAGATTGAAAAATACATTATCTAAAAAATATTAGCTCGAAAATAACTTTAAATTCAAAATTTATAAAATTACCAAATCAGATCAGATCAAATATTACCTTAATTTCATTTAAACATTTAAATATTGATTAGATTATCTTTATCGCTGATTAATTACAGCTTGGACCACAATTAGTAGATTCTCCAATCTCCATAAAGGAGAACAGGGAGAGAAGTTAGCTGTGAGTTTATTTGATTAAGGGAACATCTTTTACCTTTTTGCTTGTCTTTTAAGGTGTTAATTTCACCATAAACATGGGAATGTTGCAAAAGTAGCAACCCAATCGCTGTTAAACATATCACTGAGTGAGTAAATTAATTTTACAAGATTTTTCTAACTCGACTACCCATTTTAAATTTGAACCATCAATATGAGAGTTTTTATCGTTCATAATTAATATTATTCTGCTAGGATAAGATTACTTTATGTAAAAAATATTTGCATTTTAGATTGCAAAGATAAATAAAAATCAAATCAGCTGTTAATTGGAAAAAAAATTAAAACTAATTAATCACAAATTCTTAATGCAGTTTAGTTTAATTTTGGATTCTCATATACAAAATTGACACACAAAATCGAACCAAAACTAAATTCAACTACAAATAAATTAATTTATATTAATTTTTTAGTTTATTTTTATATAAACACTAACTTGTAATATATTTTATTAAATGTATTAATTTTTTTATTAAAAATAATATTGTTTTAATATATGACTTATAATTTGAACTAAGTTGTGATTTTTTATGAAATTTAAAATTTTAGCAACTTTTTTATATTGATTATGTAATTTTGTATATTCATGCTCTAATTAATATTTTTAACTATTATTAAAAACTAATAAAATATTATCTCTTAAATGTAAAAATAAAATAAATAATTCAATTCAAATTATATAAAAAAATTAGTTTAAATTATTTTAATTTCAGTATTATTTCCAAACTGATTTAAACTAAATCTTAAATCGATCAGCGATTTTTTTAACCTTAAGATTAAGTCAAATAACTGCAAACATCCGTACACGACAAAGATAAACCTTCTTTTCTTAATCACTGTATATTACGATTAAAGGTTTGCTTTATAGTCTATCTTTTGTTAAGGTTGACCCAATGTTTATTTAAAATTAAAACAAAATTGAAGATGATGTGCTTTTAAATTAATAAAATAATAATTTATTAAAATTTTATTGTTTTATTAAATTTTATTTTTTCTTTATTTTAAAGATGTAAACCTATTGTATTATATAAAATAAATATTGTCTACTTCTAAATTATCTTCTAAATTAATCAAAGAAAAATTTAAATGGATCAATCAATATTTACTGTAATAATTTGAATTAATCATTGATATTTATTGAATATTATTAGACTGATTTTTTTTATGTAAGAAAATAGTAATGCAATTAATCAATTCCAAAATTTTTACAAATTGATCAGAATAAATCCATTCTCTTTGAACATATATTTTGAAAAGAAAAAAAATTGGCACATTAGTTTTGTTTGCTGGTGTTATTTTACAACTTGTATATTTTTGAAGTATTGAGAAGACACAATTCACAAAGGATAAAGAATGAGTCTTACTATTTTGAATTTAATCTTTTTCACCTTTTTTTTTTTCCTCTAAAATATTTTTCTATATTCTTTTTCTAATTTTTCTGGCATTATTCTGAAACTTACACATTTTTAGTTGCTAAGATGTTGTAAAAGATTTAAAAGAAAGGAGTTTTACTGTGAATACAAATATATCATTATTCAAATTTGTAAATATATCCTAACATACAAATCAGGTTATGACTACAATTTTTGAATTTTGGCGCCATTTATATTCAAATTAAATGAGTACAATTATTATTTTTGTACAATACTCTCGTTACTTTTTTTTAATCTTCAAACAAATAAAATATATTTTTTCCTTTTAAATCTCGTATCACACATCAATATTTCCTACTTTTTAATCAAATTTAAATAATATGCATTTTAGAAAAATGAAATTACAGTTAAATTGTAACTAATTCACCTAAAGATACAATACAATGATGTATTATTATGATATGCACCAACTTTCTACATATTAAACTAAAATTAATTTATAGATAAATAAATTTATTAAATAAATAATTTCACCATATCAAATTAGTAATTGCCAACTTTAGCATAATTAAACAAAAATTACATCAAAATGCAAAACTTTCTTTTGCAACATCAAGTTATTAATCCTAATAAGAATAATAAATTAAAAAATAGTAGTTTTATTATTTTCTTGAAATTTAATATTCGAGAAAAAAATATTTTAATATAGTAATTTAAAGTTTGAATAATAGCATTGACTCATTGCTCAATCCATCAACATTGTTTTCCTACGTTAAAATTTTGAGTTAACACTTCCTATCACAAACCATAATAATGTTTACATATTCCTCTTCCATAATTTTTTTTTTCAATTATAGAGAAAAAAAATACTTTCCCTGCTTTACAATTTCAATTTCAAACTTACAAGCAGAGTCTCTTATAAATTAATGTTGATTTCTTTCGTTATCATACTTGAATGGTGCTTGATTTCTTTCTGTGAATTTTATACCTATACATAGTACAAGCAAGTAATGATTTTAATTTTTTACTATTTATATTTTTTATTTTAATATATTTATTTTTTAAATTATATTTACTAGAAAATTTTTAAAAGAAATTAATAAAAAGTATCTGTTGCTAAATAATATATTAAAAATTTTAATTTTGAACTGAATTCAATATGATCGCATAATTTATATAACAAATTTTATTTAGTGAAATAAAGTTTTATTCTTACGATATTACTAAATTATAGATTGAATAACGTCATGTTATCGACTGTGCAGCACACAGTTTATAAATAGTTAGGCATTATTTCTATGTTTAGCTAGCTACTTGGTGGTTGTCTTGATCTTGCCTAGTGTTCCCTATTGATTGACACCAAAATTTTGGATTATGGAACCATATAACGAATCCAAAGCCAAGATGGTCAAAAGCTATAACTTTGACTAGGAAGTAAGCATTCAAGAAACATCATTTTTCTGAATGATTATTGTAGGTGATAGAAGAGGTGTTCAAGATTCAAAATAGCACCGTAAATAAAGACTCTTGTAACATAACTTTTTCCTTTCTCTTCAATTGCAAATACTACATTGAGTAAAACCCCATCCCATCTACTAGTTCTAGGATATGATATTTTCCGCAATATTTTTGGTGTTTCAAAATTATAAAAAAAGAAAAGAAAAGTGAATACAACATCTCCTAACAATTTCTTTTTGGTACATACATTTAGGAATCAACATGCTCAAAAGATCCACTGGAAGGCCTTCTTGATGATGTTCTCCTTGCTTGCACGAAGAGACTAGATACTAAATCGCATTTTTTTTCCCTACAAAATTTTCATTATGCGGGGAATTAACCTAATTGCATAAATCCTAGCTAGAATTAATTTTTATTAATTCAAATTGATTCCTTGAACTTCTCCTTAGGAGATAATAATTGGAAAATGCACTTTGTGAATGTCTAACTATATGCTATATTTAATTATTATTTATATATTATATGGTTCTCCTTCATGTCCAAAGAGGCTCCCATAATGAGTTGAGGCTATTGTTCTCCTCAAAGAAGTTCATGCCACTTTGGTAGCCGCTGCTATGTGGAGGACTTGAAATGAAATTATCCACTGATTGTTGTGGTGATGATTCTTGTGGACTTTGTGCCATTTCCATGCAAATTAGAGCAACAAGATTGGCTTGTTGTAATTGCATGTTTACAAGCTCAGCTTGTGCCTTGGCTAATTGTGCTTGAAGCTCATTGACCTGTGTTTGGAGCTGGCAAATTGCACCCGCACAACCATAAACAGGGTCTCTTATTCTTGCACTAGCCTCATAAACCATACTGGTCACTGCATCAGCTCTCTGAGACTCCGGAAGTTCCTGAATAATAGCAAAAAACAAAGTTTAGATATGCAAAAGTTTCTACCCTTGAGAAAGTTACATTTGACAAATATATTTATTGATTAAAAAAAATATGTATATGTTGATTACTTATACATCTATGATTTCCTTTTAAAGGCGAAGACTTGGTATACTAGATAGTGTTAAGTACAACTACTTGCAAGGCCCACTAGGCACTATGTATTCGTTAAAATTAGGTGGTTGAAAATGCATTTATTTGAGTCATTAGTATGTGTCTCCATTTTGTCAAATTAGGAAAAGGAGTTTTTATTGACCCCAGAAAACCAAAAAAATAAAAAAAGGGGGGGGGGGGGGGGGGGGATCTGGAAACCACTACTGTTTTTGTTTCCACTGTGATTGTTTTCAAGTTTTATTGCTAAAATAGTGCAAAATTTTGTGGTATCAAAAATTGGAAAAAAAAAATTTTACCTTCAAAGTGAAATATTTTTAAGATACATATATACTTAAAAAATAAAAAAGGGTGTGTGTGTATATATAGGATGCGGAGACGGATGGTACAGAGAACTACTACTCAAAAAATGGAGGGATTCCTAACTCCTGTCAACATTGACCCCAAAAAACAGTTATGTTGGAACTCTATGATCTTAAAGATCAATGCTAAAGAATAGTGAAAATTAATAATGTAAGAAGAAATATGTCTAATATCATACACATCTTGAAGATTAACTTTGTCCGTTTCTTTATTTTTCAATTAAATTGCACAAACGTCTTCAAAGAGGGGTCTTTTAATTAAGAGTTCAATTTGTATTATAGAATTAAAATCAAGAGAAGGAAACAACTAATTAAAGTTAGATTAATTTTGAAGGTTAATAGTAATAACTGCTACTAGCCCTGTTGTTGTAGCTACCTGTAAGAACTTGATAATGTTGCTGGCACCAAAGACACGGTGTGCGATGGTAAACTTGGCAGGTTCAGTGGGAGGAAAATATGGTGCCAATACACATTTTTCAGCACATCTTCGCCTCAAAATCTTGCATGCAGCACAAGGGCTCATGACAACTTGAGGAACTTGAGGAGGTGGTGGGGGTGAAGAAGAAGAAGAAGTAGGAGATTGAGAAAGTGGGGCAGAGGAAGTGGGGGTGTATGTGTCACTGCTCTCCATGTTTCTCAACTTAATTGTTCCTTTGTGTTTGTCTATTTCTTTGTGGCTGTTTCAGGGACACAGAGAGAAGATTGAAAGATGGGTTTGTGGGGTTTGATCTTAGAAGGCTAAAGTTTGTGGCTTTTATAAAGGAAAGGAGAAGAGAAAAAAACGTCATCATATGAAAATTTGATGTCACCGTTGAAATTCGTTAACCAACGTGGCTGCTCGCGGTTTCCCACTTCTTCGTTAGGTGTTGCGAATTTGGCTCATAGTATGAAATTGAATACTCTACCAAGTTTGAAAAACCGTTTTCAAGACACATTCTGATTGTGTTTTTTCCCCCTTTTACTTTAATGATAATTTTTTAAAAAAATAAATTAAATTAATCATCACAATTAATTTCTTTCGACATCTAGGTAATTAATTCTTGCATTTTCCACGGAAAATCTTTTGTGGTTTGCCTAACTTGCCTATGAATGTGGAAAGTGTTTTTCCCTATTGCTGGTTAGAAAAAGAAACCCATGTATGAGTAGCATGTCCTCTTCAATCTCCAGCTTTGTTGGACTTAAAGTTACAGCGTAATTTCGACCCAAAAATTAATGTCCTATTAATTGTAATTAGCATGCTTAATTAAATCTCCCACCCGAAATATCTTAGTGATATGATTCTCCTTTCCCAATATTGTTTTACGTGTAAAAGAAGAGCAAGGTACGTATATGAATCAGACTCTACGACATTACTCTTGGCATTTGTCTGTTTTCGATTTTTCCTCTTGTCCTTAAAATCATATCATAATGGACAACACAATGCACAGCAGCCTCAGAGGACAAAGCAAAAAGAAACATATTTTCTCTCCATCTCTAAGATTTTTTTATTAATTTAGCTGGTCACAAATTTTTTAAATTATCCGAATCATTCAACAAATTGATACGAATACCGTAGACTAATAAATCTTACTAGCTAACACAATACAACTTGTGATGAAACCTAATGTAATCTCATATTCATATAGATAGAATTTCACTACCTCCAATGTTCCTAGTGAGGATAATGTAGCCAGGGCAACATCATCATGGTCCACACTAAACTACTTACTGTCTAGACTTTATATGTGCCAAGTGCAGTTGGGAACGGTTTGTTTAAGTGTTGTATATTAGAGTACATTGTTGCCACGACAGAGACAAGGGTATCTTTCTAGTTTCTACTCAATTAACTACTACGAAAGACTCTGCTATATAGTCTCAAAAGACTCTCTGTAACTAGTGTCTGCTAGCTGAATATATATGCACACGTGTGCGTGCGTGTTTGCATGTGTGTGCGAAGGAGTTAATTGGCCATAAGGTGGGTCAAGGTTGGTGAAGGGTCGTTCAGCTCGATGGACACAATCATGTAAGAAAAAGGGTTATTTGTGATCAAAGTCTTGAGTTATAATTAACCATTGTGACCTTTCAAATATTGATGATTAATACTATATAATATATGCAGCTCCAATATTCTAGAAAAATGCGTATGTAAATCATAGGATTAGAAGTTCTTAAATAGGTATTATTTAAAAATGTGGGATTCTAGCTTATCTACAAGTGATTAATTTTTCCACGACTTGGAAAATTTTAATTTTAAGTTTCAACTTTGCGGTGGAAGCAGTTGGACCTTTGTAATTTATTTATGACATTTTTTCCTCCTCATTTCCTCTTTGTAGCCCTCTAAAGAGTCTTTACGCGTGGACCTTAAGAAAAGAAGAACATTAGCCACCTCCACTTTACGGTTTACTCCCACTATAACGAAGCCATTTTTTCTTCTTCCCGCCAAAAATAAGCTCGTTCATATTAATGATGAATCAGTGGTTAGTATCGACACAAAGCAATTTGATTAGTTCATAGCATGCTAAGAAGGTAAAATCTCTCTCTACTTAAGGGTCATTCTTTAGGCCCCAATAAATGAGAGAGAGATATAGAGACAGTATCACTAAACACTAAAGCTCCTGGCAGCTTGATTTCCTATCATGTTCAAGATTGGTTCGCATGCGATAATGAATTGAATTAGCCAACTAAATAGTCTAAATTCAAAAATGTTCTAAATGAAATTAATGTTGCATCTAAATTTATTACCAGTCAAAATTGCAAGTTCCGCTTGGAACTTGTTGTTGAATGAAGTGTATATGGAGGGTCCCTAGTCCCTACCATGCCGTTCATCATTAGCACTTGTCCTGCCATGCAAGGAATGTCTAGAACTCAATATGTTGAATGGTCGTACAACAAATTATAACATTTTTTAGGGAGAGAGAAAGGTATATAATTTCAAAATTGAAAATGTCTTTGGACTAGACAAGTATTAATTTACAGAGAGTTTATATTTACTTGACTTGTAAAAATGAGTGAAAATTGTCATATGTGAGACTATATTTTTTCACTCCACTAAATTTTTGAAGTTAACAACATTATAAGATGTGTAAGGGGATTCTAAGAGCTTTGTTAATATTATTGTAGGGCATGGGGTCATCCATATCCTTAATTTCTTGCTCTTCAATTAGCAAATTGAACAATTGAAAGTTGGGTCTGCCTCGGCCTGCTTAATAAATGCAAAGTCCATAGAGTACTTTAGGTTGGTCTTTGATCAAATAAGTGAACTAAATCGTGAGCCACAGGGCACATAGACAGGTGGGTGGAGTGCTAAGAGGACCGTGATTTAAAACATTCTCTAGATTTGACCAAAATTTCCAGAACCATGGTTGATATGCAACATTGACTATTGATACGTGCCTGAGTTGTGGACCGCATTGCTGTGCGAGGATCATGGCCCATAAATTCACTTGTTCCAAAACCATGGTTGGGTATACACCATTTTTTTCACACAATTTTAAACTATGAACACCATAAAATAAATGGCAAATAACACACTTGTTTCAACGTACTATTTATTGTTGGATTAGATAGAAGTCAGGTGAGTCGTGCTAAATAATTAATGAAATTCGTCAAGTAGAAAATATGATTTGCATTGTTTTTAATTGATGGGAGTTTATTCAAGTAATACATATATTTAAATGTTTTTATAATAAATGTGGTTTAAATACAACTTTTTATATTATGTACTGAAATGGTATGGAACTTTTAACTTCATATTATTATAAACATTAGAGGAATGGATAATAACATGACAATACCACACTATAATTCTAGCTTTAATATCATAAATGCCCGTTGAATACTTTTAGATATTATCTTTCAATTATTTAAATGTTATTGATTGTCTTTAGGGTAATGGTTAAGAAAGCAAAGATAAAGGTATTTAACATAAAGGCAAATTTTTATTATGTTAAAAATAAAGAACCATTAATACTTACTTTTTTAATTAAAATATTTAAGATATTCCTCAATGAACATCTTTAAATCATTCGTTATTATTTTTAAAACTTTTGTACCAATGTAAGTAAAATACTAGAGTAATCAATGCCTATTTGTTAAATGATATAGAATTTAAGCATCTTTCAAATGAGGTTTCAGATTTAAAACTTTGCAAATGAAAAAAATAAGCAATAGTGAATCCATCAACTGTACTCGAATTAGTTGAGATTAGATTTAAATGACTTTCAAATCTTGACCAAAAACATTTAATATAAAAAATTTCACAAAAAAAATTTTAATATTCTACTTTTAATTTCCAAATTTGACAAATGTAGCATTAATGTTTTTTTTTTCCAATTCAAGATTTATACTCTAGTTTTAATATTGTGTTGAATTTTTTGTTGTATATAATTTTTTAGTGGTATTTTCTAATTATTATAAAAAATTAGTTATTAATTCATGCATTACATGGGTGTTATTATTAAGTATTAATTAATGTGATTTTTTTGTACACTATACAACTATTATCAATTTCAAATAAATTAGTAAATATTTTGTACACTTTATGATCATTGTTAAATTAAAATAAAATTTTAAAATAAAAAATTATGATATATTATATTATTATTTTTAATTTAATAAATTCTAAAATTTTAAAATAAATATAAAATTATATTAATAAAAATAAATTAAGGAAATAAAATATGTACAATTAAAAAATAGTTATAAAATATTTAAAACAATTAAAATTAAATTTAAGAAATATTAGATGCTTAATGTAGGAAAAGCCAGATGTAATAGAAAAGATAACAAACTCCTTAAAAAGTACTTTCATTTAAAATCAATCTTAAAAATAAAATTATTTAGGAATAATTATTTTAAAATTAGTGTTCATTGCATGATTATTTTAAAATTTTACAAGTTCTTTAAAAATAAATATTTATATTAATAAAAAAAATTATTATACTAAAAAGACTAAATTTTAAAAAATAAGTTTTTTTAAATTTTAAAATAAACTATAAAAAACTTAAAATCTAGAATTTAAACTGAGAAAAAAATTAATACTAATGCAAGGGAAGCTAACATGACATAATGTGAGGGGGAAATTTTTCATAAAAACACTTTCATTTTCATTTAAGATGAAATATTTTAGCTTAAAATCGAGGATTCACTTTTAATATATAACTTTAAGCAACTAAATAGAACAAATTTTTATTAAAATAAAAATATTTATTTTATTTAAAATAAAAATTTATCAAAATTTATTAATTTTTTAATAAAAAATTAGCATGTTAAATATTTAAAATTAATTTTAAAGACTAAAATTACCACAATTGTTTAATATATTAAGTTATGATTGCTATATTCACGTGTTGGTGCTGTTTCTTATCCATATACACATGTATTCATAGTTCGTAGCTGATATCTATAATGGCTGCAAGCTGTGACATTAATAGTATTGAATCTTGTTTATGCTTCCAAATCAAATTCATAGTGCTCTTGAAATACAAGTTTAAGTCCACGCGGTTAAGGCTAGAAGCACCACATGCACTTCTAAATTATTATCAATTCCCCACTCAGACCGCTAAGATTTCTTGCAAATTCAGGCAACCATGTGTTATGCTTAATCACCGCCTGGAACCCAAAATGAAGACCAGTGTTTAATTTCATCTCTAATACTCACAAAAAATTAAAACAAATTCATGTGTTCTAATTAAAAATGAAGTCTAAAATTACTACCATAGTTTAACTACTTCCACACATCACAAATA